TGGTATCCTCTACACAGAAAAGCTATCTGTTCCATGTGATGCTGTTCCCCTAAAACTATGTTGCTCACATCCTTCAAAAACCCTGGGTAAGGGTGGTCATAACCCAGTCAGTCCTCAGGCAGGCAGGGTTGGGACTTAATGGGCATTTTAAAAACACCAACTATTCCCAAGACTGAGGCCAAATGTTGTCAGTTAGCACAAGACAGTGCTGCTTAGCAACTTCCCACACCCCACAGCTGTGGCCACTCCTGAACGCCTCTTGGAGTGCCCTCTAGCACCAGAGCCAGGCTTTATGGGGAACCCAGGCGAGGCAGCTGTGTACCCAAACAGTCAAGCCAGACTCCACTGCCCTCTGCCACATGCTCAGAGAAAGGGAAACAGGTTCTGGACATAAATCAGCTGCTACTTAAATTCTTTAGCTTAAAACATATTTAAGAGCCAGAGAAAAGGGTCAGCAGTTGAAAATCTGCCCCTAAAACCAAAATAATGCTGGGTGGTCATGATATATGCCTTGAAAGGCAGAGGCGAGCAGATCTGAGTTCAAAGACAGCCAGTCTTAAACAGAGAAACGGAAGGGGGGCGGGGGGGGGGGGGGGGGCACCGACACGGGATGGGGCTATAAATCTGCTCTCAGAGTAAGAGTTTGGTTCTGAGTCATCTGGAGCAGTAGTTATGTAGCGGCTTCCCTTGTGAAACTGCTGAAAAGTCTCTGGAGAACGCATGTTTTCATGATGCTCGATAAATAGAGAGCATAGCCCTTGTAGGATAGGGAGACACAGGACAGACACACACACACATGTTGACTATAGACAAGCCAGTGGAGAAATAAAACAGAGAGACGAGAAGTAGAGGATTCAAACCTGGATGCACTCTTGATAAATTAAGAGGAAGCCTGTGTTTCCATTCCTTGATGTACTTACTATCTCAATAGATTACATCAATATCAAGAATGGGGGAGGGAGGATACACCCCTGCCTCCCAAGTTCATTCTAGAATCTGGCTACCAGAGGGCAAAATGGAAACATTGCCCTATTATTTCAAAAACTCCTAGAGACGATTGATAAATTTCAGAATCTATTTCCCCAAAACCGGGGAAAAGGACACATTTTGTGCACTACACTTTCTAAAAGCAGCCTGTAACAAAACATGCTGTTGTCAGTAGGCTTGAGATACGGCTCAGCATTTGGTAGTCTACCAGAAGACCTGAATTTGGTTCCTACCACCCACAGCAACCTTCTCAACACCGTCTACAACTGCAGCTCCAGGGAATCAGGTACCTTCTTTTGGATTCCATGAGTTTCGTACACTCACATGTGCATACTCACAGAGGCACATAATCCTGGGGCTGTGGAGAAGGATCAGTAGTCACAGTACTCATTTTCTAAAGGATTCAATTCTATTCCCAGCATCCACATGGCAGTTTACAACTACCTGTAACTCTAAACCCCAGTTCAGGGGAACCAACATCCTGTTCTGGCTTCCAAAGGCACTCACTAGACATGCATAGTACAAACATACATGTGCATAGACATTACATGTAGGCAAAACATCCATACAAAGTTTATTTTATACCCTGTCACCTAAAAGTATACACCTAATGAATGACATTAGTTTTACAATTATATATAATATATATTTTTAAATCAAGAATGGGAGCTGGAGAGAGCACTCAGCAGTTAAGAACACTGGCCTCTCTTCCAGAAAACCAGAACTGAATTCTTAGCAACCATTAGCCAACTGTCTGTCTGTAACTCCAATTCCAGGGGATCTTGCCACTTTTGACCTCTGAAGGCACTGTACACACATAGTACACAAGCATGCATGCAGGCAACACTCACGCATAAAATGACTTTTACATGTGTACGCTGCACATAGGGAAACAGGCACACACAAACACAAATGTAAAATGGTTTTTTGTTTGTTTTGTTTTGTTGGGGTTTTTGCCTGTTTTTTGTTTTTTTTTTTTTGTTTGTTTTGAGATAGGTTTCTCTGGAACTAGATGTCCTGAAACTCATTTTGTAGACCAGACTGGCCTCGAACTCAGAGATCTGCCTGCTTCTGCCAGAATTAAGTGTGTGCCACCACCACCAGCTGATTTTGTTGTTGTTGTTTTTTTTAAAGAAAAGTTTTTAGAAAGGTGTTTCAACACGCCATGGCAATTCTTCCCCATGCCAAATAGGGTCTCATACGGTGTCTTCAAACTCTCTACACAGCTGAGATTGAGATTATGATTTATTCTGTGCTAGCAGATAGATGAAATCAAGTATTGGTGGTACATGCTAGGGTGAGCAATTCAAAGACTGTGCCCTGTCATCTCCAGGGCACATGCAAGTAATGCAAATGAACTCAAGCAGCAGGTCAGGTGTAGTGCCTATAATCACAGCGCAGTGGCTACTGGAAGAATTGAGTCCAGTCTAATGAACAGTGAGGCTTGTCTCCTCAACTCCCAACAAGACAGAAAGACCAAACTACAAACACAAAAAATTTAACAGAAGAATCTGAGACTATATTCTGGAAGAGGGCTAGGGAATGCAGCTTGGGCACACCATGTACAAATCTCTGGGTTCTACCCACAATACAGTTAAAAAAACAAGGCTGGCAGTCAGGTAGTAATGGCACATACCTTTTAATCTCAGCACTTAGGAGGGAGAAGCAGGAGAATCTCTGAGTTTGAAGCCAACCTGGTATACAGAACTAGTTCTAGACAGTCAAGGTTACATGAAGAAAATACCTCAACCCAGCCCCCTCAAAAGGGCTGGGAGTGACAGTGCACACAGGGATCTGAGTTGAGAGCTGTGTGGGCTATACTGTATATGTAGACCAGTTTGTACATATGGTCTACATATATAATGAGACCAACTCAAAAACAAAACACAACAAGGGGAGGCTGACAGTGCATGCATGGAGATCATCCCAGAACTTGCAGGGAGGGGATAGGAATGGGCTGAAGACAGAACAACACAAGACTCTCTCTCTACCATCACCACCCCCAAAAAAGAAATCCTGGAAGAGATAAGAGAGGCTACTCCTTTAGAGGCCACACACATATATAATGAATAAAAACTAGAGCTGTTGCCAAAAGGTTCATGCACTGTACCTCGAACCTGAGCACCTGGAAGGAGTCCACACAAGCTAAGAACATCGGTGTATGGCCAAATTGTTACACGTTGCTATTGAAATCTGCCCTTAATGTTCACAATTCAAGCCACCCCATATTAATGTTTGTTATATATCCTATCAGTGACTCAGCTCTGAATTGATCCTAGAATTTTTGTTTAAGAAAAAAAAAGAAAAAAAACAGACGTGAGTCACTGAATTGACTCAAACCAAGTTGGGCGGACACAGAAGAAAAATGAGTGGGGGAAAAAATTTACAGAACTCAGGCAGGAACCTTCTATGCAAGAACTCTGCACATAGTCAGCTTCTGAGGATGTCCCTGTACAAAAACTGAGCTTTCAAGCTTTCAAACTGACCCCCACAAGCTTCCAGTCAGATTTTCTAAGACCAAACACTAAAGTGAGACCTTCCTTTTCCAAGTGGCAAAGGGACTATTCCTTATTCCAGACAGTGTCAAGAATCCTTACAGTTCCAGGAGAAATTTTTGTAACTACTCACTTATTAAATGACAGGGTGGGGCTTAAATGCAAGTTTAGTTCAATATCACATAACTTTTAACTAAAACTGTCATAACCAAAGGTTATTTTTACAGGATGAAAAACAAGACGCTTGTTGTTGTTGGCTCTTTAATTCTATTATGATGTTTCATGTGCACTGCCCTGAAGTGATAGTCTGCAAACTATATACTAGAAAACTACAACAGTTTTCAATGAAAACTTCTGGACCGGTTCCTTTCCTGCACAAACTGCTACACTAAGATCTGTAATAGCAAGGCATGATGGAGCATGCCTATAATCCCAGCATGTAGGGTGAAGGCAGGAAGATCTCAAGTTCAAGACTTGTCTGAGCTGTTTAGAAGATATTTCAAAAGGACAAGATGAGGAATAGCAGTGGTAACTGCCTATCTGGCCTGTACCCAGCCCTGGATCGAATCCCCAGAACGAATCCCCCAACAAATTACAAAACTGTTTCTCATTATTTATACACCTTTCATATAATCTGAGCACCCCCACTCCCACCACACTAAATTGCTGGTCGTTATTTACAGTCTTCGTACACTCTGAAGACAGGGCTGTATGTAACTTGCACTCAGAATCCATCATGACTGAAGGAAGCACAAAAGTGATACTAGAAGCCCAGGCACAAAATCACACAGACACAAGAAGGCTTCAGACCCCACTCATGAAAGAATGCACCAAACACATTCGCATTTATTTTTTTTAAGCAAATGACAAAGACCCAAATTACCAGTTTTTCTTAAACCTAAGCTTAACATTACATACTTAAACAATTTTCAGAACTGACAAATTTGCCAGCATCCATGCACAACTAGAAAACATCCTTAATTTACACTAAACCAGAAATGTATTACCATTGATGCAGTAATAGCGTTCATTACTAAATACTGAAAATAAAATTGAAATATTTCTGCAGAAGGTTCATCTGGCAACATTAGCTTTACAGCAGGCTGCCACTACTCACTCACAGTTCAACACAATGGGAAGCAGATCCATGCTGGTGTCAGAGAACAATCTCGTCCTAGCACTACTCAAGAGTCACAGGTCTCACCTCGGATTACGGTTTGTTTTGTTTTGTTGAAAGCAAAGTGCATACAGAGGTTACAACAATTTTAAACACAAAAAAATGGTCCTATTTTGTGGTCCCAAGAACAAACTCAAAAGTCTATGACAAATAGGGGCTCCGATGAGCTGTTTTATAAATACTTTAGATTAGGTACAGTTATACAGAAAGTCGAGTTCGTTTGAAATCTTCAAAAAAAAAAGTTCCTGTTATTCCTCAAATGGTGCTTGTTATGGTTTAACATTTCTGTTAAATGCGTGCGTTGAATTACTTGTTATCCAAGCGTAGCAGGTGCTCCTTACCATTTATCGTCAAGGACTTTAACTGTCCGTCTTCTTCAACTTCTACTCTTTCTTGACCATTCTCCACAATTCTGTAAGAAATGATTCATTTAGAAACCTCTGTTCAATTGAGATCCAGAAAGAGTCTGCTTAGCAAACTTATGGCCCTAGGTTCATCCTTACAAACACAAAAAAAGCTTTCATAATATTCTAGTTTCTTTTGCCAAGCGGTGGTGGCACACACCTTTAATCCCAGCACTAGGAAGGCAAAGACAGGTGGATCTCTATAAGCTCGAGGCCACCCTGGTTGGTCTATAGAGGGAGTTCCAGGACAGGTTCCAAAGCTACAGAGAAACCTGTTGGGGAAGGGGGGAGTGGGGGTGGGGATTGGGGGTGTTTCAGTTCTTTTTCAAAATTCATGTTCTTTCAAAACTAAGTTTGGACTCTATAAATACTGTAAATCTATCTGCTAACTATATCCAAGATGTCACTAACCACAAAGAGTAGCGCTGGGCTGGGTGTGGCTAAGCAGCAAAGCTCCTGGACCCTGGTTTCCAGCCCTGCTCCATTAGGGTTTTCCTACTCAGGCAGCCACTCTCTCCTCAACACTGGCAATGCCAGGGAAGCTTGTCACACAGGATCAGGGTGGCATGCCTCAAAGTCAACATTAAGCAAATAGTGAAAGCAAAAAACTCTAAAGCTTTAGCTGATTTAGAAATTCAGCTCTGTGAGATGTGCAGAGCAAGCACATGAAACACTGTCCTGTTGTACTCCAACAACTAAGAATACTAAGCTTCATGTGCTATGCATGACGACAGCCAGCCCATGGCCAGAGGACGGGCGGCAGGATAAGGAGCTCAAGGTCATCCAGGTCTGCAACTCTCAAAAACTGGAAAAAGGAAAAAAATTAAATGGGAAAATAATAAGGGCTTCAGTTTGTAGGCACACCTGCCCTCTGTGGGCAACATCCTGCATTTCAAGAACAATTGTGGTGTCGCAAACCTCCAACCACAGTACTGCAACCAAAAACTTCAAGATCTTGACTGAACATTTAATGCACTGGGGGAAGAGTTAGGTGGCTCTCTGTGAATATAAGGCCAGTTTGGTCTAAATGAGTTTCTGGTCTAGGTGACGTCAGTACCTCAAAAGTAAACAGATTCATTAATAAATACCTCTTTGTAGTGATTTTTTTGCCATTAACTATCTTAGTAGAAGTTGATATTGATTTGAAGTTGCCCATTCCGCTGCCACCAAATGATGCTGAAGAGAATGAAGTGAGGCCCCCGTGTCCTAGTGACCCGAACGAACTGAATCCTACAAAGAAACAGAAAATACAGTTAAAGGCATCATATGTCAAGTATTCATGCAAAATTACTAAGTACAAAACTTATTAAGCCTCAAAGAAGGCCAGTAAGATGGCTTGGTGGGCTAAGGAAATAGTTGTCCTGAGTCTGAGCCCCTACCAGCACGGTAGGAGACTGAATGTTCTCCCTATCTCCATGCATGCCACATGGTCCCCACACATACATAAATACAAGTAATCTCTAACTTTTTTGGGAGATGGGGTTCAAGACAGAGTTTCACTGTGTAGCCCTGGAACTCACTCTGTAGAACAGGTCACATGAAACTCTGAGTAACGCTCCCCCCCCCCCCGATCTCCGCCTCCTGAGTGTGCCACCACCACCTGGCTTAGAACTTTTCCTGTTTCCCCAAATGTTCACATCATACAGGTCGCATTCTTAAGGATGTCTCAAATCATTTAAGCTCTAAGACTGGTGGTGCCCACAGGAAATGAGCATCAAAACAACGAAATTAAATCTCAATAGTTTTGTTTACTTTTTCCAAATATTATTATTACTAAAGCTTTTCTAGAGCAGTGGTTTTCAGCCTTTTTAATGTTGCAACCCTTAATACAGTTCCTTATGTTGTGGTAACCCTAACCATAAAATTATACTCATTGCTACTATATAACTAATTTTGCTACCCGTTACGAATCAGAATGTAAATATCTATGTTCTCTGATGGGCTTAGGTGACCCTGCAAAAGCGTTGTTTAACAAGCTCAAGGGGTCACAAGTCACAGGTTAAGAACCACTCTAAGGTGCAACCAGATGCATCATTTGTCAGTAGATCCTGATGACGAGCCCGGCAGTGATGGCGTGCACCTTTAGTCCCAGCACTTGGGAGGCAGAGGCAGGCGGATCGAGGCCAGCCTGGTAAACAGAGCCAGTTCCAGGATAGCTAGGGCTATTACACAGAGAAACCCTACCTTGAAAAACAAAAACCTGATGACCTCAGTTTCATACCAAGAACCCATGTGGAAGGAGATCTCCCTCTGGTCTCTAAACAAACCCAAATGGCATGCATTTGCCCAATTACTCGTGTAAAACAATAGAACTTTTTTCCAAGATGGCTTTGTTTTCTTATATACAGACTTTGAAAACCCAGCGTGTACTTCACAGTTGGGGCAAAGCCTCATAAGCACCTTAATGCAGGGGAAACTACATGCCCCACATTCCCAGTGGTGGGCATGGCTTTTCTTATGTTGAGACAAGGTGTCATTACAAACCCCAACCTGACCCTTTATAAATAAATCTTCCTCAACTGGCATCCAGGGTCATATACAGGATTACAGACATTAATGTCTACACACCCACCCTCTGGACAGGAAATAGATTTCCAAGCAGAGAGAGACCCACTTACCCAGTCCCCTACAAACTTCAAACTGTGCTAGCTAAAAGACTCAATAATCTAGGGCTTTAATACCTGTATCGAAAGCAGGAAATCCACCTCCAAAGGAAGGAAATCCACTGAAGGCAGAGAAAAACGAGCCTGTACCTCGACTTCTATTTCCTCGGGAAGCCCTTCGGTTCCCAAAGAATTCATCAAATGGGTCCTCTAAGAAACAAATGAAAATTTGTGTTATAAAAATAATTTCAAGTTTATTTTTTCCTTAGGAGAAGAAAAATAGGTTAATGTCTTGATATACATTAGTCCATTAAGAACAAAAATCTTACTTAATAAGAGAATGGCTCTTAGCACGTCAGGAGCACATGCCCAACACTTCCACTAACTGCTTGTCATTCAAAAAAAAAAAAATCCACTGCCACAAAGCAAATGACCAGACTCATAACGAGAATAATGTATCCAGAAACACTGGCTCTTTATCAAGCCTTCAGAAGGCCAATCAACAAAGGTTTTTGCTCAGCATACAATTAGGCTCCTCAGAAAATATTGTACACACGTCTTTGTATTTGTTGGGTGCATGTGCAAGCAGAGGCCCAAAGCATCCTGTCACCACAGAGCTGGAGTTAAAAAGACAGTTGTGAGATGCCTGACTTGAGTTCTGAATCCAATCTTTTGCATGGAAAGAGCCATCTCTCCAGCCTCCAACCTTAGATACTTGTCCAGAGATAGCCAGAGATGCTTTCTCCAAAATAATTTAGAGTGGTCCACACCTTCAGTACTAGCTGAAACACACATCTCTGAATCTCAGACAAACCTGTCTACAAAAGCTCTAATAGAGCAGCAACAGGTGGATGTTAATTGCTGGTAAGCCTGATAAAGCTGTCCCAAGAATTCCTTTCTCATTTCTGTTCAATGTGACGGCTCAGAAACTTTTACAAAATAAGGCCGGAGAGCTGACTCAGGTTAAAGGCATCTGTTGTTCTTACAGGTTCAGTTCCTAGCACCTACATGGAATGCAGGTGGACAATCATCTCACCTCCAGTTCCAGGAGATACCAACAACCTCTCCTGGCCTCCAGGGGCAGTACCCATGTGATACACAACACAGGCAGGCAAGACATAGGAACACACAAAAATCTTAAATTTTTGTAAGACCAGTGGAATCTTAAAATACTCTGCCTGAGACAAATGACCATCACTTAACTGAAAACACGATGATGCACCTGAAAAGAATAGGCTTAAACAGCCAGGCATGGTGGCCAGCAATCAGGAGGCAGAGGCAGGAGGATCTGGGTTCAAAGCAGCCGGCCTGGTATACTGGCCATGGCTAGAGAAACAGTGGGGGAGGAGCGCTGATCAAATGACTCAGCAATAATGCTCTACATCTAACATGTATCAGCACTACAATCTAAAGTCAGCAGCAAGTTCAGTTTTTTATTATGGCAACTAACAACATAGTATTTATAGTTAATACCTTATATTGTAAGCCTAGCCATCTCTCCAGCCCAGTTACTCCTTTTATACTTACCTTAGTGCTTTTATTTCCCCCTAGGAGAAGTGGGAAATCTGTGAAAAATCATGCACTACGTACTTTCAAACGCAACTGCATGCAGAAAGTCTAGACACATAAATGACAAGAAAACAAAACAAGAACTGATGTTCTTGCATCTGGTGTGCCTGCAGTAAGATGAACATAAAATCCCAGTTGAGTCCTGGTTCCAGACAGGGTTTATAACAAGCATTCCTCCAAAAAGGAAAATCAGGATTAAAACACAGGAACCAGAGCAAAGGCTTGGGGTACTCCAGAAAGCTGGGGATGAACACTGAGCAGACACAAACTGGTCAAGGTTATTCTGAACAAGACTGGCCAGGCAGCTCTGTGGTGCTGTTTTAGTTGTGCTTTAGTTAACAAATAAAGCTTGAAGATCAGAGCGCCAAGCTGGCGACACTAGTCAACCAGAGGCCAGACAATGGTGGTGCACTTTTAGATGGACTGAGTATGTCTAAAAGAAAAACAGAACCAAGTGGTGATGGCTCACACCTTTAGTCCCAGCACGAGGGAGGTGGTGATGAAAAGTGTATGGCTGGGCAGAGAAAGGAATAAGGCAGGAGGAGACAAGGCTCAGGATTCAATCATAGGTTTCACAGAGACACCATTCGGTCTGAGACAGGATCTGGCCACTTTGGTCTGAGGATTCAGTAGAGGTAAAAGGTCTCTCTACTGGCTGGCTCCTTCTCTCATCTTTCAGCATGGACCCCGACATCTGACTCCGGGTTTTTACTATTAAGACCAATTATTACACAGCTCTGCCTAAAGCTGAGTTCAAGAAATCAGGACTCAACAGTCCATGTCAGCTAGCTTCTTCCAAGGTCTGACATGGTTAGATGAAAGAAACTTCTTGTGTCCAACAGGAACTGCTCTGCCCTAGCCTCAAGGCAGGGAGGTTTAATACATGGCAAACAAACGGAGTAAAGGGCTGTCTGAACTGTGACTGTGAAATGTCTTTTTTTTTTTCCTTCTCCCAAGACAGGGTTTCTCTGTAGATTTGGAGCCTGTCCTGGAACTAGCTCTTCTTGTAGACCAGGCTGGCTCCTGGAACTCATGGAGATCCGCCTGCCTCTACCTCCTGAGTGCTGGTGCTTGCCACCACCACCTGGCAAGACCCTGTATTTAAAAAAAAAAGTATCTAAAATATCTAGACTAGAGTTTAGTACAAAGCCTTATGTCCCATGCCCACCAACTGTGAACCCAGCACTTAGAAAAGGCAGGGAAACCAGATGCTCAGGCACTGGCAACATAGCTAAGTTTGAAGCCAGCCTAAGGCTCTGATATTCTAGACTGTCACCACAATTAAAAGCATCAAAAAACACATTAAATGATAATTCACAAGCTGGGGTCAACCCACATCATTAGCAAGAAAAATTCTCCACAGTCTATCTAAAACTAACCAAGTTTTTAATCTTACTTCTGTGTACACAATGTTTCCATGGATGTAGCAAGTCATCAGGCCCGCACAGCAAGTGTTTCTATTAGCTAAGGAGCTTATGCTTGCTCCAATTATGTTTTTATTTTGTTATTGTTTTTGTAAGGATACAAAAAAAAAATAAAAGGGCCCATTTATACTAAACTCAAGGGTTGTAACCTGCAATTTCTCCTTAATTACTGCTCTGGATTATCTGGGGTCTGCAGTGTACCTCAGTGGTGGAGCACTTGCTTAACATATGTTAGGTGGGGCTGGAGAGATGGCTCAGAGGTTAAGAGCACTGATTGTTCTTACAGAGATCCTGAGTTCAATTCCCAGCAGCCACAACCATTGGTAATGAGACCTGGTGCCCTCTTCAGGCATGCAGGCATACAGAACATTGCATACATAGTAAATAAATAAAATCTGTTAAAATATGTGTATTCTCTAGTAACACTCAAGAAGCTGATGAGATCACAAGTTAGAAGCTAGCTGGGGTTGTTACATAATAACAAGACCCTGTCTCAAAGAATGAAAACAAAAGGGCTGCTAAGATACCTGAGTGGATAAAAAATGCCTACCTCCTTGAGTACAATTCTTGGAATTATCATAGAGAAAACTGCAAAATGTACTGACCTCCTCCAACAGCCCTCACCCAGACACACTTCAACAATTCCTTTTAAAGGGGGCTGGAGATGGTTCAGCTGGTTAGAGCAGTACCCAAGGAGTTCAATTCCCTCACATACACGCGCTGGCTCACAACCATTCTTATCTCAGGGGTCAGAGTCCCCTCCTCTTCTGACCTCTTCAAGCACCAGGTATTCACCCATAAACATGCAGGCAACACCCATACACATAAAATTTTAAAAAGGTTTTTAAGGAGAAACTTTGTGCGGTCCTGCTTTCTGACACTGAAGAAACCAGCACTCCAGAATGACTAACAAAACATCTCTAAGTGGGAGGGGAAAACCACACACACACATTGAGTAGTATAAAACGTAACAAAAAGCCTAAAGGAAGTAAATGTGTTAGACTGGTGAAATTGTTTAAATTTTACGGGACTGATAGCTTCAAATCTAATGCTGGTGTGAACTGCCAATGGAAAAGCCCAGGAGCAAAATCATGTATGTACTCAATCAACACAGCTCCACAACAGTGAGAATGTACCAGTGTCTCACAGGCCCAAACACTCCATCCCTGTGCTTCCATAGCAACACACAAATATAAAAGCTGACAAGAATCAAGGGGAAAAACAAGCAAAAAAAGCATACAATACACCATGACATTCCTTACATCTAATAAACTGTGTTACTTTAAAAGCAAATTACCAATACTACATAGGTGCCCAGATTTAAAATCCCAGCACTTGAGAGAGAGGTAGAGCTTCCAAGGCCAGCTTGGGCCATTCCCTGCGAGCTACTTCACCCCAAATTGCTAAGCAGTTGCACATGTGCCTAATCTTAGGGATTAGGAGGCAAAAAGACAGCCATCGACTCTCAGCTAGCCAGGGCCATATAGTGAAACCAGTTCTCAAGCACAAGCAAAGACAAAGGAAAACTACAGGCCAGGAAAGATGTCTCAGCACTTAAGAACACCAGATGCCTTTCCAGAGGACCTGGGTTAGATTCACGGCACCTGTCTGTAACTCCAGTTCCAAGCGACCTGATTCCCTCACACAGACATACATGCAGACAGAACACATAAATATGCAGACAGAGCACATAAAATAAAAAAATTTAAGAGAAAAAGAAAAAAATGGCAGTCATTCTAAAGAGACACACAGGGCAAACACTAATCCCACTTCCTAAGAGCTCAAATTAAAGCACTTACTCATTGCAACTACAATTCTACAAGTAGTATCTTTTACATTTCAAGAATGCAAAAAATTACTACTCGTAACTAACAGAAACAAAAACCACAGCAAGGGATCACACAAAACCACATGGCACCCAGGATGGCTTCAAGTATGTTAAATTTTCAGTCACTTTCAGCTCCTAAGTGATTTTGTGTACAACTGGTCTACTTCATGAGAAGCCCGAGAGACAGGATTATCGCGAAACTGCCCCACAGTGCTAACTGCTCGCTCTCATATGTGAAACTGCTGCTTACCTTTCCCCACAATGTAAACTAAAGGGCAAGACAAGGCCACTGTTCCCTAAATCCACAGCAGAAAGCTGAGAATTGGCTGAACTACTTACTCACAGTCATGGAACCCCATAGGTTGTTATGCTCACCTGTGAGTTTCCAC